GGAACGCTGACATCTACTCCCAATATCCCCTTATGCCAATTAATTACATAATCATAATCAAATGCCTAGTGGCCCTTGGGTGCCTGTGAAATAATTTTCAACCCTTAGGATGTACTCTCAGACATTTTGCAAATCGAGCCACTGTGCCCTTATTCAGAGCCTCTGGCGTGCAGCCTCCTGCACTCTTACTTGAGTATGGCTTGTGACTTCATCTTGTGATTGACCTCACGCCTCCATGTCGCTGTTCATTCTTTCTCTCCTGCTTCCTGCTTTGGGGCCAATGGATGAAAGACAGCGTAGGAGTGGTTTGAGGCTCCAACTTGGGTGTCTGGCTGTTGTCAGTGTATTTTCTGGCTTAAGACTTCTGAAGTCTTGACTTCTGACCTCGGGTAACTTTTATATTAATCCACATACTTAGTTGGAATTTTTTTTTTTCCTCTGTAGTGCTGACTGTCCTGGAACTACTCTGTAGCCCGGGCTGGTCTTGAACTCACAGAGATCTACCTGACTCTGCCTCCCGAGTACTGGAATTAAAATTATGTGTCATCACTGCCTGGCTTAGCTAGGACACTCTTAATATAGTAAGGAAAAAATATCTATTTTACATTATATTTTACGTCCATTTATAATAAATGTATTGATTTTGGAAGTCTTAATCACTTTTTAGCTATTGTTTTACTATATAAAACATGAACCAGAACTCAAAAAGTTAAAATTTTTTCGTATCTTTTATCCCAGTACTTTTTTCTGTTCTCCATGAAATTACATCAGATTCACAAGGAACTCATCAGGGACTGGAAGCCTTGTGCCCAGAGTCAAAGCTAATTCCTTTATTATCTTCTTACTCTGCAGAGATAATCGAATTTCTCTCATGCACTCTCGGGTCACCTAAGAACACTGACCCAGCTTTCAGATTAGCCAAAACAAGACATAGGCTGTTCCCGGGTCTGGTGAGGTTAGGGGGAGCCAGCCGTGGGGTTCCGGGCAGAGAAAGAAACGGACCTCAGTCAGGTGTCCCTCTCGGTCATGGAAACACCACACAGGAAAGAATAAAACTGGTCTCGGCAGCTCACAGGGCACTGCCCAACGCTGCCTTTTCTCTTCTTCTTGATTTCTTCTTCTCCAAAGTCAGGAAGAACAGGTGCCTCTGTCCGCCTGGTGTCTGCAAAGGTGTTCACGTCGAGTTCTGCCTCTCTCCAGATCTCAGACCCCAGAGTGCCATGATCTGAAAACCTGTGCCATCCTCGTCCATCCTGCCTGTCGTCATCCACCACCTCATGCTCTCTCCTCTCTCATCACGAACTGCTGCCCTCTCTTCTCTCGTCCCCCTTCCCCTGTTACCCTTACAACTCTCATCCAGGGGAGTTTGTTTCTTTTAAAGAAAGGATTAAAAAGACTTCCCAATACCTTCAAGCATTCTGTCTCACTCCCACAGCATTCCCAGAGGACACCCGTGCCCGGCAGGGAAAGTTTTCTGTCTTAAGTTAATGTCATTTCTACCACCATTATAATATTGTGAAATTATCTCTCATTGTCTTATTATGACCTTGTGTCATTACAAGATCCTGTAACTTAAGCAGTAGTTCAATCACAGAAGGTGGTAGCAAGCAATCCACACCCCAAATAGGAATAGCGTAATGCAGCAAGAAGCAGTTGTCTATGGGGACTGTGGGATGGAGGGAGCAATCTTGAACATTGAACTCAGAGCCAAAGAGTTTTAAACAGCTTGGAGATTGGCCTGGTCAGTATGTTGTGTTGTTAGACACCAGGCTTCATCTAAGATGCGGAGAACAGGGTGGAAGAGAAGCAGGGAGGGGGACAATCTTCACACTCTCGGAGTGTGGGAGAGGGAAATTATCAGAACTGCTGCATTGCTTGAGTTAGTAACGCAGTGACTGCGCCTGACGTCCTCATGCTGATATGTTTGTCCCTTCTTCCAGCGTGTCTGGAGGAGGAAGCACCGAGGGCCAAGACACACCTGCAGTACTCACATCCATACTTTAAACCATTCTTTAAATAATAAAAGAGACTTAGGTTAGCCCCGAAATAGCCATGCAATTTATAAGATTGTTTTCCTTGTATTTCTGAGCACGCTGGTAAGCAGCATCCTAACTTGTAGCCTATTGTTCTGGCCTTTGCAGCTTTCTGTGTTATGCACTATAATATGTTACACGCTTCCATCTCCACACTCAAAGACCAACTAAGAGAGCCAAAAGAACCGGAGAGATGGAGATCGAAATGCCACCTTTCTTACTGACCAGTCATGCCAGGAGCAGTCTGTAGGTATGGGGCATGTGTTTCCTGATGTAGCACAGAATTAAACAGAACGACCTACTGATCCACTAAAGGGACCTCATGGGAGTGAGCTGCCCATAGAGAATCCAGAAGGTCTGAGACAGGCCTGTCTACCTTGTTTCCCCTTCCCAGTCAAGTAAGACATTTGTCTCAAGGACTGAGTAACAGGGAAAGAGAGGCCAGAGTGTTGGACGACAACACAGATTGATGGGGACAAAGCAAATGCTCTCTGCCCGGTAGCTATTCTAAGTAGTAGCAAATAAAGCTGTTCTCTAATTCAGTAAACTGAGTGATTCTATCTAGAGGAGTCTGTAAGCAAGGTTAGCAAGATCTATTAAAGATCCATCACCCCAAAGCAGAGTGGAAGCAGTGGCTTCCGCCTTAGCGGGAGGAAGCATGCCTGAGACCAAAACGGTGAGCAAGGTGGAGTGGACATTTGCGTACAAAGCCTGCAGTCTTCAGAAATTAGAGCCAGAGGCTGGAGAGATGGATCAGCACTTTAAGACACTGGCTGATCTTCCAGAGGCTGCATGTTTGACTTCCAGCACCTACACAGCGGCTCACAAGCATCTGTGACTCCAGTTCATGTGTCCAGCACCTTCGTTGCAGCTCACAAGCGTCTGTGACTCCAGTTCATGGGATCCAGTATCTTCTTCTGGCCTCCCTGGGCACCAGGCCCACGTGGCACACAGGCATGCATAGCAGTAAACACCCACGCACGTAATTTTTTTTATTTTTCAAAAAGGAATTAGAACTAGTTTAAAGTTATCCCCATACCATCTTCCCTCCTTCTAGAAAATACACATGGGTCTCTTTGCTTTCCCCATGCAGACACTCATATTGAAGAACATTTAATGGGACTATTAATCGCAGTGGCCACCATGATTAGTTGAAATGCTCATGAGTTATTGTCAAAGTCATTTCTATTCCTTTTTTTATTTTACTCAGGGGTATAATTGATTAAGAAAGCTTAATGAATGGGCTGAAGGGATGGTTCAGTGCTTAAAAACACTGATTGCTCTTCCAGAGGACTGGGGTTTGATTCCCAGCAACCACATGGCAGCTCACAACTGTCTATAACTCCAGTTCCAGGGGATCCAACGCCCTCACACAGACATACGTGATGGCAAAAACACCAATGCATGTAACATAAAAGTAAAATTTTACAAAAGCACATGATTTCTTAAATGAACAACATGCCACAGGCAAGAATGGCAAATGTCTTCTGGCTAATGACAGAAGTAAAATGTCAAGCAACAGTAGACCATGCAATTAAGACTATAAAATCTGCAAGAATGACGCTATCATCACAGAAGGTTAATGAACACAGTTCCTATCATAATCTAAACGGTAAAAGATGGGAATTCTGAATTCTTCAGTTGTTCACACTTGCTTCTAAGAAACCAATATCACTAGAACTAGCTACACTGCTTTCTTTCTTTTTTTTTTTTTTTTAAGGAGTGAGAGGGAGTGAAGTCCCCCACTACCACTACCTATGCAGTCGAGTTTCCATGCTTGGGGTCAGCGCATGTGAAGTGTGATAGGAAGCCCTGCCCTGCTAGCCAAATACTGGGCTTCGTTTTCTAGATAAAGGTGACAAACAGCTTTGATGCTGCTGCTGTTGTTATGCTTATTTCTGTGTGTGTGTGTGTGTGTGTGTGTGTGTGTGTGTGTGTGTGTGGAGAGAGAGAGAGAGAGAGAGAGAGAGAGAGAGAGAGAGGAGGCAGACACAGAGACGCAGGCACAGAGAGGAGAGAGAGAAGCCTGTGTGTCATGCTGCGTGTGTGGAAGTCAGAGCACAACTTGCCAGCGTTGGTTCTCAGCTCCTATTATGAGTCTTGAGATCAAACCTGGGATGTTATGCTTGGTGGCCAGCACCTTTACCCACTGAGTTCTTTTTTTTTAACGTCCATATATAGTTAGAAGATGAGTTTCATTTTTTTATGTGTTTTGATTTAAATGTCATTACATTTCCCTCCTCTTTCCTCTCTAACCCCTCGTTTCCTTCTTCCAACCCCTCCCACGATACCCTTATTCCCCCTCAAATTCGTGACCTCTATTATTGTTACATGAATATGCATAAATGTACGAATACAATCTGTTGATTCTGTTTAGTGTGGTTTATATACGTATGAGTTCAAGGTCAATCGCTTGATATTGGATAGCCAATTAGTGGGTGGGTCCCAATTCTTAAAACAGGGTAACAGCTACTTGTATTACAAAGCAATCACTTTCTTTATATTTGCAATGGTTTGCTTGTTCGATTATAAGTGAACTCATGCATGTTTTTATAAGAAATGACCTCTACAAGAGAGTTAATATCTTTGCTCTTTATTATTTACCAGTCTCCCACTTTGACAAACTTTTATCCAATTCTGATTGAAGTGTATGGGATGCATGTTAATTGCTACGGGGGAGGGGGGGAGAAGAAAAGCAGAAAACTTGAGCTCTTCCCTTTTCTGCTTCAAGGCGGCATCAATCCTCTCAACACCCTCCCACTCCCAGGAAAGCCTGAGCCAGCCAACTTGTCCTCAGCAACAGGTCAGCTTAGTTGCTAAGTGTTTGTGACATAGGTTGAGTAAGTACCAATCAGAGAGAAGCCCTGGCCATGTGACTGTGACATGTCACCATAAGTAGGGTGCGCGCTCCCATTCTCCGGCCCTTCTCCTCTCCGCTCCTAACCAGCAAGGAGAACAACATCTACAATGGCCAAATCCATCATCCAAAGATACCAACACATCAAAAGACATCTAAGACCAGTCTCAAAAAAGCAGTCCTGTTATTCCAGCATCGACTTTGGCCATGGAAATTACTCTCGCTACATATGCAGGGTCCTGAAGGAAGTTGTACCCATGAAAGGCATGTCTTCACACACCGTGGACATTCTGAACTTCCTGATCAATGACATCTTTAAACGCGTTGCTACAGAAGCTGGCCAGCTGATGTATCTCAGGAAGCGCTGCACCCTCACCCCAGAAGATATCCAGAAAGCAGTGTATCAGCTGTTACCTAAGAAGCTGGCTATGATTGCAGTGACTTTTGGAAATAGAGCCGTCCACAGATTTGTCCATTCCTAAGCTCCATGTACAAAAACCTTCTTGAAACTCGGGGAAAGTAAATCGAAGTGCCGGTAGTCTGTGCTACGTTCACTCTTCTTTCTCGTTCTGTTTGACATATGTGGTTATTTTTAGCTGGTGCTTGAGGAGGCCAGAAGACGCCCTTGGGTCCCCTGGAGCTAGAGTTACAGGTAGTTGGAGCCTCCATGTGGGTGCTGGGACTTTAACCTAGGTCCTCTGGAAGAGCAGCCCGTGCTCTTAACTGCTGGACTCTCTCTCCAATTCCCACGCTTCCATGAACTACCTAATTCATTGAGTTTAGTTCTTTTTTTCTTTTCTTTTGTGGGGCAGAGTCTCAAAAAAAAAAAAAAAAAAAAAAAAGACTCACTACACAGTCCTGGCTGGCCTAATTTGCCACGTTGGCCAGTGCTACCATGCTTGGGTAACTTTTAAAAAGTTCTCAAGCTTTCTCCTAACTCCACCTCCCTACCGGCTGTCCTGAGGGCCCTCCACACACCAGCCCAGCCCTTTGATGTTCTTTGTCCTTTGCTGTCTCTGTGTCTCTGAGCCAGCAGTTTCACTTTTGTTTTGCAAGGATAGGCTCACATCACGTGTGTTTCTCTCTTTAACTTGTTTCTAAGGTTCCCACCTGTGCTAAAGGTAGGTCTGGATTGCCGATTCCCTTGTCCTGGCGGGGGCTCCATCCTATGATCATACCACAGCTCATTATGTGCCCTCTCTTGACAGGGGTCGAAAGGGCTTCTGGTTTGGCTAATAGAGCAGCCCCAATAGAGATGCTACGGTAGCAGAAACATACAGCATTTGGTACATGACCACACCCTACGTATAGTAATTTGTTTAGCCCCACAAAACCCTGTGAGGATTAAGTAATTATCCCCAGCCCCTGGAGGAGGAAAATGAGGTACTGAGAACTATCCACTTTCCCGAGGTCACCCACTTAAGTGGAAGGACTGGGTTTGAACAGAATCCCAGATCTGTCTGGCAGACTAGGCCATAGGGTGTGAACATTCTCATACAAGAGCTCCTTTGGGGAAATACCTTGACAGCAGGACTTTTTTTTTTTTTTTTTTTTTGATTTTCAAGACAGGATTTCTCCGTAGCTTTTTGATTCCTGTCCTGGAACTAGCTCTTGTAGACCAGGCTGGCCTCGAACTCACAGAGATCTGCCTTCCTCTGCATCCCGAGTGCTGGGATTAAAGGTGTACGCCACTACCGCCCAGCGGACAGCAGGACTCTTGAGACATTGGTGGCTTGTAGTCAGCTTTTCTAGGTGTTGCCGGGTTGTCTTCCAAAGAATTTGCTTGTAGCAGACAATAGGAATTTGATTTTTTTTTTCTGATTACAAGACACATAAATTTCCACAAGAAAAACAAAATCGCTTGTCTTGCGTCTCTTCTTGGGTTGGAACTGAGGCCATCCTAAGAGAGAATGTTGTTTTTCTTTTCCCTGCTTCTTGGTTAGGATCCATCCTCTGTTTCTCCTGGGTGAGTTCACTTCTGAATCTACCTTCTCCGAGTTTCTGAAAACTCACCTAAACAGGCTCTGCTCCCCCTACTCTAGACAGAGGGGATGGGCACCTTACAGCTTAAGTGATCTTCATCCTGTGACCACTTCTACCTAGGATCAATGACAGACAGAAAGTTCCTGAGTTCTAGGAGGGTCAAAATTACAGCTTCTGGACCAACTCTAGCCAAAGAGAATATCACAGATCTCTTTTCTATACAGCACCATGGTGCTCAGTGAGGCTTCTATGTTTGTGCACAGATGTTTAAGAAAAAACAAAACCACAGGAAAGTATTCAACAGGCCTAATATGGCCCACAAAGCGTAAAGTACAGTCAAGTCCTACAAAAGGAGGTTGTGGTCAACAGTTGATGTTTGTGGTGGCAGGCTTGTGAGGTCACAGTGTTGCTGTTCATTCCTGTTGTTATGTTTACTGTACTCTTCTATGTTTAGACGCACAAGCACTTAACTTCGGGTTAAAAATTGTCTGCAGGGGTCAGTACAGTAATGTCCTGTACAGATCTGCTGCCTAGGAGCAAGAAACTATGTTATCTAGTTTGTGTATCTAGCACGGTGTATTCTGTCTGCATAACAACAAGGCCACCTGATGATATAAAAATACCTGAAAATAAGTTTGTTGATTTATTTTTTTAATTTTTATTCATTATTATTATATTTTGGTTTCTCTGTAGCTTTGGAGCCTTCCTAGAACTATCTTTTCTAGACCAGGCTGGCCTCGAACTCACAAAGATCTGCCTGAGTGCTGGGATTAAAGGTGTGTGCCACCACAGCCCGGCTCATCCATTGATTTTTTTTTAAAAGAACCCCCCAACAGCTAAATCACTTATCAGTGCATTGCTCGAAAGACCGGATCTACCATCGAGAAGAGAAGTTTGCCAAGGGCAGATTTTACGCTGCATACTTTCGTGCTTTTAGTACATCGGGCTCTCAAAGCTTCTCACCCATAGGTCAGTTTAAAGAAAAGGTGCATAGCTGACATTTCAAATCACTGAAATAAGGAGAGAAAATGCAAACCACATTTTGCAATTCAGGTAATGATCTAATCGTAGAAAATTCCCCTCTAGAATTGAGGTATGAGCTTTGGGGGAAGGGAGTTGCATACATGCCCTCCAAATCAGCATATGTTTTAAAGCATTTAAACAATAGAATTTCAAAATAGGATCAGTATAGGGAGGGGTGATCCCTGGAGATACAATTGTTTTTCAGGTCTAATTATATAAACGTGTATGTGTAAAAATACCTATTTTTTGAATATTTAAACCTTTTTTGGTAAAATATATTGAATAATGTGGCCGCGGTACAATGGTTGCCACCACCATCTCTAGAACCTTGTACCATTAAACAGTAACTCCCCATTCTCTCCTCTTCTGGGTCCCGACAAACCCACTCTGCCCCTCGTCCCTGTGCGCCTGACTCCTCCAGGTCCCCCATAGGAGAAGTTATACACCATTCCACTTGTGATCCACCATATCACTCAGCGGGAGAGCTTCCAAGGCATCTATCCTACACCATGTATTTACTCAGTGACTGATGCATGGTTGTAGTCTTGTAGCCTCTGTAAGTAGTGCAGCTCTGAACATGGTATACTGTAACACCCGATTCTGTGTTACACCCTCGGTACAGTTCGCGCACCACTGTACCATACGCGAGTTGGGCAAGGGCCTGGAGATTGAAAGAACACACAAAGAGACCTGGGTCATTCGAAGGAGATCAGCCGAATGCCAATTATTCAACCTTGGGGAAATCCTTATATACCTAGCTGCTGTACAAGGATTTCCGCCCAGGCAGGTGAGAAATTACTATACTAATGATGGAGTCAAGGCCCTACAGCTTATCACCAGGCAGGGCAGGGGGAGCACAGGAACAAACAGGATGTTTAGTTAGCTGACCAGAAACTGTCCTCAAGATGAACCCCAGGAACAAGGGTAGACCCGGGCCCTACAGTATACAAATATCTATTAGTGGCCCTGCTCCCAGTGCTTTAGGGTGTATCCTTGAAAGTGAATGCTGAGGGATGCTGGAGAGATGACTCAGCAGATAAAGGCACTTACTGTCAATCAAGCCCAGCTGCCTGAGTTTGATGCCCAGGTCCCTTGATCGCTGTGCAGTTAAGACGGCAGAACACACAAGTTTGAGAGGATGCAGGCCTCTTATGATTGAACTGCCCTTCCAGCCATGGCTGCCCTGTGTTGACATAAGAGAAATGAAATTTAACTTATTTATGCCAGTATTATTTTGAATTATTATCATTCATACGCTAACTTAATTCTAATACAGACATCCAGAAGATCACTGACTGCCACACAATGTAGTTAGCATCAAGATGATAACAGACTTATTAAATAAAAACATATTAACCCAGAAATGGAGGCTGATGCTTTGTGTATTGCCAGATGATGTTGTGGCAAAATGAAATTTCATGTCACTTCACAGCCCTTTACTCAGAGATACACAATGCAGATGGCGAGAGCCTACTTGTTATTAGTCTGCTGGGTCTATGATGTGACTGTGGAAGAGTGCTGAAAGTACAAAAATAGATTCAAAAGTCACAGGAAACAGATTTTTCTACTGTCCACAATATGAACAGATACAGATTTTTGTGATCATTTGAAACCAGTGGTATATATATCATATGTCACACACCAACAAGCAAAAATAGTGCTGACTTTAAAGTCAAAGTCACCCAACAATAAAATTGTGGTCATCTTGAACCAAGCCAGCGGCAGCAAATGCAGTAAAAAAAAGAAGAGACAAATCTGAAAGATATTAGGAGGCAAAATCGTAGCAGTTACTGTGATGTGCCTAGCAACAGATGAACTGCCAACTAGACACTCCCTGGGGCTCTGGCCCAGAAGACTTAATGAATAGTTCCAAGTCATTCGGCGGTGTGTGCTCAGCACAACCAAGTGACTGCACGGTATGCAGCCAGCCGTTTTACAGGGTAACGTATGAGGGCTATCATAAGAGTGCTCCAAGTGCAGGAAAGCTGGCAAGAGTCAGATGGCCTCATGTAGTCCACTAGCACTTACTTAAAGCTCAGGAGAGGACGGCTTGAATTTTTAATAATTGAGATCATGTCTTATCAGTCTCGCCTATGCCGCACGTCAGGTGTTGACGGACGGCATTTGGAACGGATTGGCAAACTGGAAGGCATTTGGCAGTATGGGGAAAACTGTCGGTTGCCTTCAAGATTAGGAGTCCAGAAAATAATTTTCAACTGTCAGCAGGAGGGGAGTGACCACTGACTGGTTCGGGGCCGGCTTTGTGGGTGTCGCGGTTGCCGTGGCAACCATGGAGGATTCCTAGAACAGGACTCTGGAATACAGCAAGTGCAATCTTACTGGAACGGCAGTTCATTGCCAAGCCTGGACTGAATAGTGAGTTTAAGATCAGAACAGGCTACTCCAGTTAGGATCAAGAAGAAAAATAACAAGCTTTCAAAACTAAAGAATTCCTGTAAGTGATTTAGCAGCTGAT